AATATCCGATACTGCACGCCCGGCTCTTCTCGGTATTTTGTATATCCCAATCACTGCATTTTGGGATATAAAAACTAGGGGCCCAGCTGAAAGCTGGAGAGACCTGTTTGATTATTTTAATATTGATTATTTTAAAATTGTTTTAAAAATTTAGGTTTCTCAAGTCGATAGCGCCCTTCCTACGCAAAAAAAGTGAAAGAAAAGCTTATGTTAACGTAAGCATAGCGGATTCCATTGTCTAAAAAATACACACAATAAGTATATTGAATCTTTGTTCCAATGCCAAAAAATTTAAAAAAAAAACTTTTCCTAAGTGTACAGCTCTTCCCCGAGACAAATTAAGGACCAGCCGCTTGAGCAGGGGAGTTTCCTACAACCTGGTCTATCGATTAAACCCTTAATCCCAAATCTGGATGGGTAGTTTTTGAAGAAATCGAAAAAGTTTGAAAAAATGGCCTAAAAACCGAAAAATTGACTATTCCTAAGTGTATACCTCTTCCCCTAGACAAATTAGGGACGAGCCATTTGTGTAGGGGGGGTTCCTACAACCTGGTCTATCGATTAAACCCTTAATCCCAAATCTGAACGGGTAGTTTTTGAGGAAATCGGAAAGATTTGGAAAAAGGCCAAAAAAGTCAAAAAAGTGACTTTTCATAAGTCTATAGCTCTTCCACTAGGCAAGTTAAGGACCAGCCGCTTGTGCGGGGGAGTTTCCTACAACCTGGTCTATCGATTAAACCCTTAATTCCAAATCTGTATGGGTAGTTTTTGAGGAAATCGGAAAGATTTGAAAAAAGGCCAAAAAAGTGACTTTTCCTAAGTCTATAGCTCTTCCCCTAGGCAAGTTAAGGACCAGCCGCTTGTGCGGGGAGTTTCCTACAACCTGGTCTATCGATTAGACCCTTAATTCCAAATCTGGATGGGTAGTTTTTGAGGAAATCGATAATTTCCGAAAAAATAGGCAAAAAAATCAAAAAAGTGACTTTTCCTAAGTCTATAGCTCTTCCCCTAAGCAAATTAGGGACCAGCCGCTTGTGCGTGGGAGTTTCCTACAACCTGGTCCATCGATTAAACCCTTAATCCCAAATCTGGACGGGTAGTTTTTGAGGAAATCGGAAAGATTTGAAAAAAGGCCAAAAAAGTGACTTTTCCTAAGTCTATAGCTCTTCCCCTAGGCAAGTTAAGGACCAGCCGCTTGTGCGGGGGAGTTTCCTACAACCTGGTCTATCGATTAGACCCTTAATTCCAAATCTGGATAAGTAGTTTTTGATGAAACCGATAATTTCCGAAAATTAGGCAAAAAAATCAAAAAAGTGACTTTTCCTAAGTCTATAGCTCTTCCCCTAAGCAAATTAGGGACCAGCCGCTTGTGCAGGGGAGTTTCCTACAACCTGGTCTATCGATTAAACCCTTAATCCCAAATCTGGACGGGTAGTTTTTGAGGAAATCGAAAATTTCCGAAAAAATGGGCAAAAAGTGAAAAAAGTACCGAGTTGTGAAGCTTTTCTAAGACCGTAGGGGGTGGGGTAGGGTAAAAATTGCCCTAAATTTCATGCAGGCAGGTAGGTGAAACGCTACTGAATCCATTGGTACCACTTTTATGAGAATCTGACGGGTAGTTTTTTGGGAAAGCGAATTTTTCGAAAAAGCGTCTCAAAAAAAATAATAATAAAAAAAAAACCAGATCTCATCTGGAAAAAAAAAAAAAACGTTTTCATAATACCTGTTTAATAAATCAAACAGGAATTTTGAGGATTCGAAAATTTCCAGGAAAACAAAATTTCTGGGGCAGAGTAAAAGACGAGAGCAGAAAACTTGCAGATGCATTTACTGATTGTTTTCTTCGTCGTCATCATTTACATGGCACCTGGTGATGTGTTGCTGCATGGTCGTTTCGAACAGTGCTATAAATTCACAAAGGCTACATACTATCGGTGGGTATTCGAACTCTTCATAGTGCTTTGCTCTGATATGATTTCTGTCAGATTTCCAGGGATGTTCAAAAATGATGTAGTAAAAAGAATATCCCGTTTGCAAAAAAAATATTAAACAATCGAAATTTAAATAATTTTCTTTTAGATGTAACTGGCTTTTTATAGAAACCGACAAAACGTTTTCTTCATTCAAAAATTTTGATCGGGTCACGCCTGAAAGGCCTTCAAAGGTGATATATTAGAAGAAGCACGTTTGAAGTTTTCTTGTGGTTTCTAATTTGGTGTGAAAAAAAAAACCGGATTATTTGAATAGCTATGGGTCGCTTTTTGTTATACTTCGCACAATATTTATAATTTGTATCATAAGCCAAATTTTGTGGCAAAAGAAAGTGAAAAGCCTAAATTTTTGAATAGCATTTGTTCTGGCAGAGTAATGTATAAACAAAAACTCTTAGTAGAAGTATGATTGTTGATTGAAAATGAAATGACTATATTATGCATTATAGTTCTCAAATTTAATATTTGCACTATACTCAAAATTACCACCTATTGTAACATTACACCCTTACTTCTTTCCCTGTTCGTCTGATGTAATGTTCGCCTGATTAAATAAGAGCTTGATTTAATGATCGTTTAAACAATCTATAAGCGCTCTAACATCTAGCACAACACAGACGAATTTTCTTTCGGGTATTTCTAACAAATCCTACCTTTGATTGAACAACTTTCTGTTCATCCGTCTGCTTTCACATATTAAAACTGCGACACCATTAAAAACCAACGAGCAACTGGCTATTTTTAGAGCTATGCAAACAAAACTCGGCAGACTCAGCTCAAAACGAACATGACCACTGAGGCAGGGGCGGATTTGGGGGGGGGGGGGGGGGGGCGGACGCCCTTCCCTTAGGGATTCGACCCCCTACCCCCTGCCGACCCAAAGGGTCCCCCCTTGATACTTTTTCAGAAATCCATTTTTGGCCAACCGACCCTAAAATTTTTCTAAAGGCGCCTTTGGCGCCAATATATACTAATTTTAAGGGGGAGCGCGCGCCAAAGAAAACGCGTTTTTTTGTCAAAATTTTCCAAAAAGTGCCCAAAACGGCTTTCAAAAAATTGCCTGCGGCGCAGAAGATTTGGCTAAAACAGGGTCTTTTTACTGCTTTGGGAGAGCTCGGAAAATCAATCTGATCGACCTAAAAAAAAATCGTCAAAATTTTCGAAAATTTTTTGAAAATCCCCCCCCCTCAAGAAAATCCTAGATCCGCCCCTGCACTGACGTAACCTATATCGAACATTGACATGATGAACATTAAAGTTTAGATGATTGTCCCCCTATTTTGGCACAATGGTTTAACCAGTGCTGATATAACTTTGAACAATCCTATATGCTCCCATAGTGTAGAATACTTTATGTTTACACCAATCACACTGCCAAAATACTTTCCTCGGAGCTGATTTCCACCTGCTAGAAGGACGTTTCCCTTTTTGAGAACGCTTTGATTGTTCTCGTGAACACTTTTTGATGACGTCTAAGACGCTTGGGAGTCTGGAGTTAACACGTGGGGGCTTCAGAGTTTCAATCCTTTTCTGACATGCTTCAAACAGGTCAGCAAAACACGGAACTGCAGTAGGAGGAGGTCGATTAACTTGGAACCGATTTCCCTCGTGAACACATTCTACTTTGATAACTTTATTCTCAATTCCAGGAAAAGACTCCACACCATCTTCTTGTATTTTATTCTCCTCAGCAAACTGTGATATTGTTTCATTTTCTCTCTCTCTTTTGATTGCGACATTCGTGGCCAACTTATAGTCAATAACATGTATTTTGCATTGATCTGATTCTACTGGACAGTCATCCGCTCCTGCTTCTGTCTCGAAGTCACCGGGCTCCTTTTTGATCTGAGGGGTGCAGTCTGCCACTGGCTCGCTGTTTCGAGCTAAACTAGGTAAAGTGTTTAAACAGTTCACATTAAATGGTTCTATTTGTAGCGGAGCAGTTTGTTTTATGATTGGCAGGTTATTCTGTGCAATATCCAAACCGTGTATATCACAATATGGTTCCGTTTTTATCAAAAGAGTTTCATCTGCTGGAAATTTTTCGGGTGTATTGATAATATAGTCGATTTCACAAGGTTCTCTTTTTATCAGAGGGATATTGATTGTGACTGGCGGCGAGTTATTTGATACTTTCACGGCACATTCATTGTTTTGCGAATGAAATGATGCTATTTCGTCAAACGAAAGAAATGGACTTAACTGCGACGTCATCTTGACTACTACTGTAAGAGCCTACTATCTGAAAAAACAACAACACAGTTTCAATAGATTAATTCATTAATTGTGGTTTCTGCGATTGGCAGAGGGCTCTATGAAAAGCTGTTCAGCCTATGCAAAGTCTGTTTCTCTTTTTAGTCAAAAAAAAAATGCAAACCGTTTAAAAGTATTTCAAATAGTAAAACGACATTTTTTTGTTTATCAAACAAAAATAAATTAACTCATACAATGTTTTGGAGAATCTACCCTTGTTAAAGTTTGTTGGGCTACGTAAGGGGCTCACTTTGATATAATTATGTCTGTGATCGACTGGGTATTTTTGGCTTAATTCTTGATAAACTAAGAAAATTCAAAATGACCCATTTTTCGGGTTTAATTTTGGGTCCGAATTTTGCAAAACAAATTACACCATATTAATTCTGCTAAAATTTTAAGCAAGTTTTGTCTTCAAAACCTTTCACCTAAATTCAACTCAATTTGAAAAAAAAACGCGTTTTAAATTTCAAGTTTAGTGCGTTTTGTCCGGTTAATTTAAATCAGCACTGTATAAGTGATCGAACTGATGACATGCTTCCTGCCTGCAGATTTAAAAAAAGAAAAAAAACCAAATCGAGTTTGTAAAGTCACAACTGAGAACAAAAAACGATTTGGAATAGAAAGGGTGATTCAAACACAGACACGCCCAAAATATGTCTGTTTTCGACGAAACCACTGAGTTGACCATATAATTCAATCGTTTCTTTTAAATAATAAAAACAATTACTTTTAAATTTTATTTCATTTCGGGATCTAACTAACAATCAGGGACATAATTTGTAGTAGAAAAATAAATATTCATTACAGTAAAATAAATATATGGATAAGACAATGATCAGGTATACATAGAAGAGACAAACTAACAACCATTCAATTTAAAAGCCTCGAAAACTGGCTTATTCGGTCATTTTTCAACGGTCGAACATTTAGCGAACTGATTTCAAATGATTTTTTCGAAGATAGTTGAAATTCTTCTGGCATAACGCAGTTACACAAAATGGACAAATTAAAGCAGAGATGTCACCTTGAGGATCAGGACCTTGAGAGTTCCAATGATGATCAGGAACAACATTATGATGATGATGTATATGATACTGTTTCACATGAAGTTGTATTGTGCTGTTGCTGATTTAGTGTTTCAAGGCTATGCTAGTTCGCTCGTTTCAGTGCCTTTTTTCTGCGTTGATTTCACAATATTTAATACGACGCTGACCTCGCGATTGGCGAATTTATATCATGATTCTAATAGTTTCTACGTGATATTGACGCCACTTATTCGTATCTCTTCAAGTATCCGGTTGATCCGATTAGCTCGCTTCTATTCGGTTACATCAAGTAGTTCTCGCCTCCGTCTTGGTGGTCGTCTGGATCCGGCTGCTGGAAGAATATCCTCGCACTGGAGAAGGAGAAGAAAAGCAGGTCAAACTCCTTTCGCAACTTCTCAATCTTCGTAAAGGTCACTTCTGACGCCTAAACAGCATGATCAGAAATTCAGATAGAACACTAACATGAACATCAGCATCGTTAATATCGTCGTCACAAATGTTATTTAAAATTTCTCAAATTCGAAGGTGTCTTACAATTCGAGTACTTTTTAAAAGCACAGCTCGATTTCTTCTCCTAAGTACCAACAGACAATTCTAACCAGGGGCGAATTCAGGGAGGGACGCTCCTCCCCCTCAGGGATTCGACCCCCTACAGACCCAAAGGGAACCCCTTTGGTTCTTTTTAAGAAATCCATTTTTGGCCAACCGACCCTAAAATTTTTCTAAAGGCGCCTTTGGCGCCAATTTTTACTAATTTTGAGATGGAGCGCGCGCCAAAAAACAGCGATTTTTCCGTCAAAACTTTCCAAAAAAAAAAGTGCACAAAACGAGCTTTTTCACGTGTTTTTTCATAAATTATCTGTCTTTACAGTGTTCTGTGAGCGCTCGGGAACTCAATTTGATCAATCTAAAAAAATGTTCAAAAAAAATTCAAACCCGCCCCCTCCCTCCCATCGAGAAAATCCTAGATCCGCCCCCTGATTCTAACACTTTCAAACATTTTTAGCTACAAACTTTCAGTAGCTGTTCACATATGCGAGGAACAATTCCAACCAATCAACTTCATTTAACCCACTGGTTGTGTCGCTTAACTCTTTTAGAGATTCTAAACTGAGTTATGATTGGGTAGCATAACTTTCGGGCTTTCGATGCTAATTCCTTATCGTGTTCTCGTCATTTTCTTCATTCATTCCAGAAAAATTTCGCTTATTTCACCTGTAACTGTTTCTTGTCTTCTCTATTGTTAGAATTGAGTGCACTCTGTCTAGCCATTGCCTCTTCAAGGTCACTCTTCAGCTTTGTCCGGATGGAGTCGAACCAGTGGAGAGAGTCGAAGTCTCCATTCTGGTCCAGAAACGACAGCACAAACGAAACTCCCATCGCAAACCCGTCGTCTGTGAACAGAGCACCCGTCTTGTCTTTCTTCACCATCTGTTCACGTCGCTTAAAACAAATCATACCGCTTATTTTCACTAAGCCCTGAACGAAAATGCAACCAATTTTGTGGAGGACCAATTCAACCTTATTGCCTAGACTAAAACTCATTTAGCCTAATAGCGAAATCGCAAGTATCTAACAATCTATTCCCTTAAAATTTCAAAATAAAAATCAGAACATGATATTGATTAGCTCTGAACAAAGTATGTGCTACAAATAAACTTCTAGTTCAGATCTTTTAAGTTCTGACTTAAAACAGCCTAGACTGTTCAGGCAATGCATTATCTGGGTGCGGATTTTCTCGACTTTGACGATATTTATCAAAATTGGACAATTAGAACGCGAGCATAAAACACAATTCGCAGTACAGCCTAAAATAAGAAAACACGCCGAGCATATAAAACATTTCGAAAAACAGCCTGTAATAAATTGTTTTCGTCCATACTGAGTCCGTTGCTTGAGGGTGAGGCAGCATTGCTCAGTCCAAAAAATTTGCATGCAGTTCTTCAGTAGGAACACAAGTTAAATGATTTTTCACAATTGGTGAAATTGCATTGTAGAGCTGCATGTGGCTTCGAATAACAATGCATGCTTTCTTGGTGCTCAGTAGTGATATGCACAGATATTTTTATTCGATGCGAATTTTTTATCCAACCTTTTGTTCAGTTTAAGAAAAGTTTTTTTTTGAGTTCTCGCAAAACCTCAGAGAAAATCTGCTTGCGCGTTATGTTTTAGTTTCTAAGTTACAAACAGAGGCAATGCTGTTCTTCAATTACTAGCCTCGACTTAGTAAAAAAAATCAGCTACGCCTCCGATTCGAACAAACGACCTACTGCAAAATAGAGATTACGAGTCTCACGCACTAGTCACCTAACCACGGTCGCTTCATTTATGGCAAAAGCAAGCCACAAATAAATCAGAGAACAGATGCTATGCAATTTTCAATGCTACAGTGAAATTTCCATATAAGTGAACACTTTCAATGAACACTTTTGTTTGCGAGATCAGCTAGAAAAAAAAGACGGTTGGTAGAAATACACTAACTCTCGCAAGCACAGAGGCAAAGCGGAGCAACACGAGCAAAAAAAAAGGAAAAAAATTATGAAAAAAACTAAGTGTACCAAAATTTTAATTTTCTCGATATGTCTCAATTGAAATTCATTCCTGGCAGAAAAAAACCTAGAATATTGGATATTAAATTAGCAACGGAAAAAAACTTAGGAAGAGGCAACAAAGTCGACAATTTTTGAGCAGACAATTTGATACGAAAAAGATACGATTATATAAAAAAATCTGAAGAAGTCCCACGTGAAACTATAATGAAAAACACTTGCACTTGCAACTGCAATGAAAAATGTTTACAGCACAAACAAAACCCGTGATTATGTGGCAAATAAGACGAAAAAACTTCAGCAGACAAACGAAAGTCGGACAATACAATTTTTTTTGTCAATTGCATACAAACTGAAAACAGACGGCCGGGACGTTAACCCCAGACCTTAGGACGCAAAGGTGACGTCATTAACCCCTAGGCCCGTTGGAAAGGAATCTAAAAAAAGTCAGGGTTCAAAAGTTTTAAAAAAAATTGTAGAAAGAACAGAAAAAGGAAGAAAAATTCGAGCTGAAAAAACCTGTTGTCATAAAAAAATTTTGAGCTATTTATCTTTAATGGAAACACATATAAGCAAAAGAATATACTTAACAAGCGAAACATAAATTGACTGAGCTGAAATAACTTGAGCCGAAATCGTTTAATTGAAATCAAAACGAATCACAAATTACAGAACTTTCAATTATAGTACAAACTGTTTAAATAAATAAAAAATAAAATCTGTGCTTTGAAACATAATCCCAGAAAGACGCAAAAGATGATACAAATTGCATTTTAAAAAAGGGAAAATGAGCCGACGGAAACTAGGAAGAAACTCACGAATTTTATTTGAAACAAAAAGCTATTACCTGAAACGAACTTCTCCTAATTACTAATTAAATGATGGCAGTTTTATTTACATTTTCAGGTATGCATGGAAGCAGTCGTAAAATTTACCATTCCTACAAAAATTGACCATTCAGTGAACAAGATTAACTATCATTTTACAGGAAACCATTTTTTGTCAAAAACGCGTCTCTTTTTCAGTCTAGTTTTGGCGTGTAATTCCTTAATCAGTCTAAAAACAATTTTCGTGCATGCGAGAGAGCTTTGTTGCTTCGCATTAAATAGTCGAAAATCGCGGGACTCTTTGGCCTATTTTCTAACCGTTTTCATCTTTTCCGCAAAATTGATCATCAATGCTGGCACAATCACATAGAAATTCTTCACATGAATGTTTTTCGCTTTGTGAAACTCAGTGGAGAACACATTTACGAATAGGCCGAAGTAATCGGTGCCTTCTGCGAAGTTCTTGCTCAAGTTCTCCAGACAAGTGTCCAGATTCCTGGCAGCATCCTCTGTTTCCTGTGATAGTTTCTCTGCCTTCACTTGTTCCTCAAATGAGACTATGTCGTCCAAGTCAGGCACGAACTCAATGGCGTGACTGCAGGTGTTCAGTCCTCCCGATCTACAAATGGGAATACGATCTCACTTACCAAATATTGATTCTAGGAGCGCAAGTTTACCAACGATACATATATCTGTCATACAAGGGTAAACATAGACAAAAGAATTAAAACTAGCTGAAAATAAATTTTAAAATGACTCCAAAATTAAGTCATAGCTTTCCAATTTTCCCAAAAAGTTTTGAAAGGTTGCCACCTAACCAAAAATTAACTCAATGATTTGTAGTATTTTGTATGGCACTTTTCGGTTTTGCCTAATTGGAACCGAAAAGTTATGCAAGAGAATCTATGCGCCCATCGTGTTTACACGGTGCGTCCTGATTTACCAACAGACATTTTAATTCAACACTCAGCCAACAGACAGTTGGGAGAGAGTCAATGAACGCAAGGAAGCAGAAAAAATCTGACAAGTTTTATGAAAAAAATCAACTTTCCAATTTCCAAGAAAAAAATGGCATTGGCATTGAAGTTCTTTGAAATTCTAGAAGAATTTAGTTGACAATTTTTTTGCTAAAAATTGATGCACTTTCAGAAAACCGGTTAAATGGGTTAAAGATTTATTTCGCTGGAAAATCTGAAAATTAAAATCCACTTTCGAAATTAGAAGTTAATCACGTTTTAGAAACCTTTACAATTGTGCTTTTCGAAAGTGAAGTTTGGCTTCCTTTTAATACAGGAAAAAACTGAAATTCAAAAAAAAATCAAAATTCAAACCGCGGAAAAATAAATTTGAGCCTGAACAAATTTTACGATTTTTTCCGAGAAAAAGAATAAATCATCTAAACCAATATACGATTCTTCACTACGCTCATTGACTCATACAAAGACTAACTTTTTTGATTTTTGTCATTTTTCTGGATAAAAAAGACTGCTCGTATCAGGGCGAAGCACTGAATGTTCCGACTGCTTTAAAGGTCTATGGAGTAGTAATAAAATGAAAAAAATTGATGTAAAAAAAATGAAACTAAATTTTTTTAATTTGAGATTTTTTGTGAAAATTATCCGCCCATACGCCCTATAAAGTACAAAGTCATAGATTTTGCTCCTAGTAACAAATCAATTTTGGCAAATAAGCTTCCTTTAACCAATTCGGAGCGCTTTATAAGACGGATAAACTCTCCGCTTATGCTTTAATATCGCGAAATATATCGCGCGTTAATTAACCCAAATTGGCCAAAATGCTCCCATAACTTCACGAAAAACGATCACAGGTGAAATATCTTTTCAAATTTACGCTCAGGACAACAATATTTTTAAATGAATTGATATTAAAAAATTCCGTCAAAAACGGTTAGTTAAAAAGTCGAAACCTGTCTGAAGGAAAAAAAACCACCCGAGCACAAATACTCGGTTACTTTCGTTATGAAAGTCGCAACAACAAACACAGATTTGAAACGTTTCTTTGAATTGGATTCATCAAGACAAAACTGCTTTGAAATTTCAAAAATTACACGCCGTTATTTGATTTTGCTCAACTCGGACCTAAAATTTAAAGGCAAAATGAGTCGATTTCAACTCGATTTTCCCAGTCAAAAATTACCGATTCAGTTTATGAACACAGCATATCAAAAAAAGTTTTCATTACACCGACGAAATTTAACAATGGTACGATATCTGACAGGAAAAGCCTTATTCGAAAGCGTTGAAAGCAGAAGTTTTGTGTTTTATGCAGTAAAAACAACTAGGAATTCTCATTAGGTCAACTTTACTGCTTAAGTTCCATTTTGACATCCGGAACCGAGTTTGATCTACGCTACAAAATTCGCGTCGAGACTCACTAACTCGTCGAGACTCACTAACACACAAAAAATAGCGTTAATAAACTATCAGCATTGCCCGAAGAAACTATACAAAAAACAAGACTGCTCGCATCAGTGCGAAGCCCTGAGAGTTCCGACTGCCTTATAAGGTCTATGGATCAATATTAACAAAAAAAAATTAAACCTAAAAAAAAAAACAATTTTGTTTGAGATTTTTTGTGAAAATCATCCCCAACATGCCATATAAAATACAACGTGATAGATTTTGCTCCCAGTAACAAACAAATTATGGCAAATAAGCTTCCTCCAATCAATTTGAAAAGATTTCTAGCCTGATTTAATCTCCGCTTACGCGTCAATTGCGCGAAATATTTCGCGCGTTAATTGTCCCAAATTGGCCAAAATGGCAATCTTTAAACCCCCATAACTTAAGCAAAAATGATCTCAGGTCAAATACCTTTTCCAATTGAAGCTCAGAACAACAATACCTTTCGAATGATATAAAAAGTTCCATCAAAAATGACTAGTTAAAAAGTCGAAAACTGTCTGAATCAAAAACCCATCCTGAGCGCAAATATTCCGTTACGAAAGTCGGAACAATAATTGAGGGAAGAAATCGCACTACTATCAATACAGCAAAATGAACGTTCTTTTTTCTTCGAGTTAAACTAAACAATTGAATCGCGTTTGGTTCTTAAAATCTCCAGAACTTAGAGAAAACTGTTAGCGAAAAAGTTAGAGAAAACTGGTTCAAAGGATAATTTTTTCCGTTTGGAATTCTTAGAATTAAAATCCAGTTTTAATATTAAAACTCATTCACATTCTAGCGGAATTTCTGCTTTCCCGTTTGTAGAGCGTAAGTTTGCCTTCTTTTAGCAACTACGCAAGTTTTGATTAAGCTACCAAGATAGAAACAATTAATAGAAACAATAAATAATTCTTTTCCCGTTTCGAATTCTTAAAATTGAAAAAATCCTCTTTCAAAAGTAAAAATCATTCATAATTACTGTACCATTTTTGTGTTCAAATTTTGAGAGCGTAATGTCCCCTTTTTTAGCAATTGAATTTGAATTGAACTTGAAAAAAAAACAACAAATATCAAACCGCAAAAAAAAAAACAAATTTGAGCGTGCTCAAATTTTATGACTCTTTCCTTAAAAAAACGACCTCAAAAAGATAAAAATCACTCCGTTCAAAGACACTCAATAACAACCTGCATCAGAAACTTCAAGTAATTTACGGTTTATTGCGCCATTAGAGCTTTAGAGCACTTAATTTGCCTTACTTTGAGCAAATGAATTTCAACTAAACTTACGTGAACTCTAAAATCAAATAGCAAAAAAAAACAAATTTGCGCGTGAACAAAGTGATTTTTTGTGGATAATATTTTTAAAATTACACGACCAAAACAAATGTGAATAATATGATGCATGTGTAGTGTTATGAACCTGATCATGCGTACGAAAGCGAGTGCATTGCCAATCTGGCTGATGAGTTCTCTGAACTTGTCCAGGTAGCTCTCCCCGTTGTCCATCAGACCCAGTCGACGAATACTCTTGTTCAGCTTCTCCGCCCTGTCATAGGGGTACATGTTGTTCAGCTCTTCCTTCTTCTCCCGGAAAAAGCGGATCTCCTTGATCAGCTTTCCTTAAAAATTATTAAGACAATCTTGAAAAATCTCAGGTCTCGTGTTTTCAAACTATCTAAACTGAAGCAATATTTGGCTCTTTTTCCTCCCCCCTCCCCCATATGCATAAATTTAATGGTGTAATGAGGGGTTTTACTAGGTTAAACATGAATAATAAATATGTTTGTAATTCCTAATCAGTTCGCATGCCAATTTTCGTAACATTCGGATGTGAACAAAATTTCACTAGTAACATGGAGACCAATATTTTAAGTAACCAAACTCATTATGAAAAATGACGGTAAAAGTTTGATAGAGGGGTCCCAAGAAACTAACCGGGTCCCTAATCCCCTAATGTAGATAGAAAGCCTCAAAATTGTTCAATTTAGTGCTTTGATGTTGCAATTAAAGTATCAAACTAGTTTGCGCGAATGAGGCAGAAGTTAATTACATTTGAGAAAAAGTTTTACACAGAGGCGAAGCTTCGCTTCATAAACACTAGCGAAAACACGGCAAAAAGCAGCTGGCTCTTTTCCACTCCCCCTTTGATATTTTCTGAAGTTCAAAACATGAAAGTCTTCTTAAAATGACTTTTCATGTAAAAGTTGCATTAAAACGTGTCACAACTAGAACAGGCGAAATTTCTACATTTATAACATGCAAACCACCATGTAAACAATTTTTGAACAGCTTTGTTTTGTAATTTTACAAGAGGGGTGGGAAACTGGAAAAGAGGCAAGCAGCTCTACAAAGTGCAAAAAGAAAAAATAGAAATAAGCCTCGAATTCGCAAAAAAACTTGTCGAGGTTCGAACGTGCGACCTACAGATTAAGAGTCTCACACACTAACCACTCTGCTACGGACTAGCCACAAATAAAGCAGGGAACAGATGCTATGCAATTTCCAACGCTACTGGGCCAATTTCCAATAAAAATACACTCCGCTGATCGTTAGACTTAACTCGTTACACTCCTCTGATCGTTAGTTAATTATGGTATATGCCCAAAAAGAATTTGGGGCCACTCTCACTTACTTGGTTATTAACGGGACCCCTCTATCACACTTGTACCAAGCAGACATAAATTTGAGTTCTGATTACAATAGAGTGCTCCAATCCTAATCTTAGTGTCTTCTATCTTAGTGTATTATCTAAGTGATTATACGATACCATCAATCTCACAACCATTAAGTTGAAAATTGAATTTTACCTTTGATATGCTCATCATGCAGAAACAGTGAAAACATCTTGAAGTGTTTCCTCAAGTACTGGAAGACATAGTTCACAGTCGTGTTCATAATACCAGTTCCGTGTGTTCGCATCGAATTCGCGATGTGTCGGATATTTATTGTATTCACGTGTCGGTTATTTTTCGTCGCGTGCTCCACAAAAAGCTGATTGTTCAAATTATAGAAATAACTACATACAAACACGTCAATGTTCCTCATAATTTCCAGGACGTCCAGACCTTGTTCCAAAGTTTGTTGGGGTAATTTACCGTCCAAAATTTGAATCACATCGCCGTACCTTTCAACTGCGCAAAACTTCATAGCTGTGTACGCTTGCCAATCTTGAGGCGTGATTGTTGTCAAGTTATAAAACATTTGAGTCAAATGTACCGAAAGCTGGGCTGCTATGTTTATGTATCGACTCACAAATCGAAACGGCTTCATAGCCACAATTGGTTTTAAGTCGTTTAAAACGACTGCCTGTTTCATTGGATTTGAGTCCTTCACTTTCAGATGAACATGCGTCGAATATCGCAGATCGGTTTCAATTTCTAACTTCAGGGGCGCTACTAAGTGCTTCTCAAAGAAGTCAAGAATTTCGGCTTCGAACGCGTTTTTTAGTTTTTCTGCTTCCGGCCCACATTTATCCATGGCCGCTACGATATCATTCAGAGCACAAAATAGAAGCGGCACACTAGAAGCCGAAGGGCTGTATAGACTAACGGGTGAGTTGGGTTGCAACTTACAAGTTAGCAAATTCGACAGGTAAACAGGTACACAAGCTTTAGCCCAGTTCAAAAACATGCAATCCGTCACTTCCTTCAAGTTGTCAAAGAACATCATAGTTCGGTTCATTTCTTCAATTTGGTCGAATAATTTCGCAATTTCTTCCTCTTTTAGACTAGAGCGTAGTTTTTGAAGAGATACTTCCAGCAGCAAATGAACAATTGACAACCTTTGATGATTGACTGGACCTGCCATGTTTAGAGCAACTTGTCGCAACAATGCCACGGATGCGTTTACGTCTGCTTTATTCTGCTTCGCTTTACTTTTTGGAAACTTTCTAAGAATGACCTGAAGATTCCTCAGAAACAGACCCTGTAAGTTCTGCAGAGCAAGTGGGATGAGTTTGTGTACAGAGTGGCTAGATGCATTTATTGTCAGCTGAACTATTTTGAGCACTTCAACCAGCCTCATGATTTGCAGCGCCACCTAAAATCAAGCAAAACATCGAGATTGACGAAACAAAACCAACATAGCCAACTGACAGATGGAAAAGAGTAATGTACCCAAGGAAACTGAAAAGAAAACGTGTTTTATCAAAAACCTTCAACTTTGAATTTCGAAGAAAAAACATATGGCAAGCTCTTTGAATTTGTAGAACACTTTATGACGGACATTTTTTTGTTAAAATTAACCCAATTTGAGAAAACTGGATCAATAGGCAAACTTTTATTTCGCTGGGAAATCCAATTTAAAAAATTTCCAGTTTCAAAATTATAAGTCGATCACGTTTTTCGTGATCTTTACACTTTTGCTGTTCGATAGTGGAGTTTGCCTTCCTTTTAACAATGGAAAAAAAATCACAAGTCAAACCGCCAAAAATCAAAATTGAGCGTGAACAAATTTAAAGACTACGTTCATTCATTACACTTAATAACCAGTTTCAATTAACTGAGAAAAAAAAAGCCTAACACAATTGAGAAGACGCGTAGCATTTTCATTTCCCTGTCATAAAAAGGGGCTTAGTTATCATATTTATTCTAAAAAGATAACATCCTTATCTAAAGCTTGCAAGATTTTGAAGATTCTGAAGCAACTTTTGTCAAGATGATTTTATCAGCTCAAAAAAATAGATTAGGCTTGTCAGAACTTTACACCACAAACCAAAAATAGTTTTAGAGTTTTCTGACAGTTGGAAAAACACAATGAAGACAAGGTAACACACGAAAATGCTGGCTTTTTTGAAAAAATCTCAAAAAATTAATCAAATTTCAAAAAAAAATTTCATTACAGCTCTTTTAATATCAAAAAAATTCATGACTGGTACTTTTTTGATAAACTTAACTCAATTTGAGAAAACTGGATCAATAAATAAAATCTTCATTTTGTTGGTGGAGTTTGCCTTCCTTTTAACAAAAGAAATGAACTGAACTTTAAAAGAAATCAAGAGACAATTCAAAAAAAAAATCAAAATTGAGCGTGAAATAAATTAGATTTTCTAAGAAAAACACCTCACGACTAATACATAGAGGCGAAGCTCCGCTTCGCACAACTAGCGAGAAAACGACAAAAAGCAGCTATGAAAAGAGACAAGAAAATTTAGAAATAAGCCTGGAATTAGTTTAAGAAGAATTCTGCCACGCCACTGATTCGAGCCTGCGTCCTGCAGACTAAAATCTCAACGCCTAGCCTCTCAGCCACACACTAGCCAAAAAGAAAGCAAAAACATATGCTATGAAATTTCTAATGCTAGAGATCGTGATTATAGCAAAAGTGCCACCAATGAGCACTTTATTTACGAGCTAGATTGGAAAAAAAGTTTGATACTTATATGCTACACTCGAAAGCTCGCTTATGTAACACCGAGGCAAAGCTGAGCTTCGCACAATTTGCGATACAAAACTCGAAAAAAAATGGTCGAAAAAAAATAATCGAAAAACTAAGAAAAGTAAAAAACAACTTATCTTCTCTGGAAATCAAAAAATGTAACACAAAAAATAGTTAAAATTTACCGTCGAAAAACTTAACAGGCGGTAAAAAACCAATTATGCCTTAGCAAAAACCCTTAAGCCGAAAAAAAAAAAAATTTGCCGATATAAAATATGCCGAAACCTATTCAACCGAGAAAAAAGAAAAGGAAAAAAATAAAAAATAAAGTTTTAACAGCGGGTTGGTAAAATTACAACCAACTTAAAAACAATATTCGACCAAGCTGAGGCTAGTGTAAATGGGCGGTACATTTGAAATTTTAACATGCTCAAAATCTCTCTTTTGAAACAAAAAGGCTTAGTGGATGAATGAGTCCAGAATCCAGGAGATGAGTCCTGTGACTAAAGTTATTTACGGGAGAAAAGTCTACTAGCCGATTGAAATACCCTTGCTTATTGCAAGAGTAATGAAATTGAACGACCTACGTCTACTCGTAAAAACTGAATCAATGCATAATTTTTTCAGCTGGGAAGTCATAAAATTAATATCGACTATCGAAACTAAAATTCTGTCGTTTTTCGCGCTACTTCGGCTTTCGTATTTTGCCTACCTGTTAGCAAATGAACTTCAATTGAACTCAAAAATATACCTGAGGGCAAACGCATTTGTATGTATGAGTGCACTTCTGCTGTTATCAGAGCATTTTGACTTTTTCTTGAAAAAAAAATCAAACAAAAAATCGCCAAGGACTATATAAGAGTCTTCACTACCTTCAACGACTCTTTAAAGAGGTGAAATATTATTCAAAGTGGCACTTTGACTTTACCCGTCGAGTTTTTTCGAGATTGCTTTTTAGATTAATTAATACCTTTAATACGATTGAATGTAAAACTTAAATGACAACAACGCGTGACAACTAAAATATTCTTTATTCTTAGTAATTTTTCAAAAAATTTGAAGCACTAAATTGTGGTATCATCTTGACCTTCAAATTTACCATCAATGCTGATGTATGAAAGGGAACCGACCTTGGTTGACATCTGATGTCCGCTGTCCATGTAGAGAGGCAGCACTATTTTGATGAGGTTGCTGATTGACCTGGCATAGGACAGCCCCGAGTTACACACTCGCATCTTCGTCTTCAGTCCGTCCAACACTGACTTATTGTCTGATGAAGACGACTTCTTAGTCGAGAAAGTGGATTCAAATTGCATCTGCCATTGAGCCACTGAAACACAAGCCTCCCATTCCCATATTGTCTGCTCCTATTCAAAAGACGCCATACAAACAATATTAAGAGACAACAGCGCTACTACCCAAAAAGTACTCCTTGGCCAAAATAAAACTAAATGAATTGATTCATTTTACCAAATAGATCAGCCAGCTCTGATATTTGACTACTTAATCGTTTTTGACATTCAATTACACACCAGTTCCGACTGAAATAAGGCGTAGAGTATTTTTGCCCAATTTTAGGTACCTCAAGAAAAACTTGTAAGGAATCAAGTGAGGTATCATTGTAAAGACCTATTGGTCGTGATTCGGATCCCAAAAAAACTCTCCGTGTCGGAAAACTTGAGTTTTTCCGTTTTCAAACCCCCTTTCAACTACCACTTAATACCCAACAAAGACCACCTGCCCGTATCAATGTTCATTGAAAGATTGAGCATATGCGAATATTGCACATAGCCTAACGAACTCCCCTCCCCTTATGAATAGGAGCAGCTGGAGAGGGCTTTGGAGGGGAGGGGGGGGTCAGGTATAGCTGAAGACTAGGAGATGTCCTTTTAGCATGGAAGGAATGTTGACTCACCTGCGACAGTCATGTAGTGGAGTTGTCTGTGGATGACAGAGGGGGTGTCCTTCAGTCCGTTCTTCCTGGAAGTGTCGATCGCAGCCAGCACTTTCTTGTCCACATTCTTCCCCGCAGGACTCACCATGTTCAGCACAAACTCGGGCGCATACCACACTATGGGCCCGTAGATGTTCACTGCGGCCACCTTAAGCCAACAAAGAGCAACTGAGAAACTCTAACACAAAGTGGCGAACTCTTAAACAACTGGACTCTCTTTGATCCTCCCCCCCCCCGCTCCCCATTTGCCCAGGTATTTTTGTTCACATTTTACGATTATTTTAAAAAATGTGCTGTGAGCGAAAGGAAAAAGAGCCAGTAAATACTTCGAAACGAGGCAATATTTGGTTAAAATTATAATTTGCAACGGCTATTTCAACTTTCAGTTGTCTATCTATGCTGAGAGGTTTGATATTCTTAAAATAGGGGTGTGATTTTGGCATCATTTTCTGCTTATTTTATCGCAGCACATTTTTTGTCCATTGCTGACACCGGGCCAAAAATTGATTTAAAAAATTGGCCAAAAGATCAGGCCAGTGCACATTGGTTGTCGTTAATTTTCTTGTTATATACTACTGTCAAATGCTATCGAAATTGTCAAAGATCGAGCGAGGTGGACCGGGGTTAAAAAACTTAGACGCTCAGCAAATAACGGAATTTAGACAATAACTTGCTACAAACCAATTAGAAACCCAATTTGCTACAAACTCATTTTAAGAGACCAAGTGGTCACCCTGCTCATAAGAGATGGACCACGTGACAGAGTTAACATTAGCAATTCAGGAGAGAGTCCAAAAACTGGCAAAACTGAAGACGTCAGAGAATTGCGACAAACCAGACATTCTTGTGTCATGAAAAAAAGCCCCCCCCCCCCCCCCCCCAAAAAAAAAAAAAAAACTAATGAGTTCAACAATTTTTTGTAGAAATGAGGGAAGCCGTGCGAACTGCAGATATGTGCGATTGAAACACCCGTGATGAACTAACTTTCTTCATGACTTCCCACAGACGCTTGTTCATGCGGGTGTCCAGTTCCCGGAATAGGTGATAGTGAAGACAGAACAGCATGACTAGATTCACCAGACTGGACCTCGCTGCGAAGTCACTATTCTTGGACAAAGAGGCCTCAATCTAAACGACACACAACGTAACAACTATCAAACAACTATCATCATATTATACAAACTCAAGCCATCGTTGGTTAACATAAACCCTCGCATTAAATTGGTTGCTCTTTTGCTACAAAACTAAAAAAAAATACCCACATCAAAAGATTTGAAAATGTATTTAACATGAGTTTTAAATATGATTAAGAAATTAAGACTAATAATTGGCAGACCGTTCATTCGTTAACTGTGTTATTCGAGAGCATCAAATAATGGTATTTAGTTCAAATGCTTTTTGAGTCATTCAATAGCCATTTTGACCTGTTAATTATTTCTTTGTTCCCTAAGGTAAAAATATTTTTACCTCCAGTACATCAAAGGCAGCAAGGTGTCTTTTCACGGGTCACTGGTCCTTACATGGCTTATGGAACAATTGATTCCATTCTATTTTTAAGCCATGATAGCAAAACAAAAACATTTTTTCAAACCAACAGTTGTCTTGAATTGCAGGAAAAAAATCTAGATTCTCCATCAATTGTTTCAGCTTCAGTTAAATTTAATGAAAAAACTTTGTTGCCATCACTTTCTTCTCGAATAACTGTTATTCAGTTATTTAGTTATATTTTGGATATGAAGTTGAACTACACACGTCGGGAATAACCTATATTGATGAAGATACTATTCAACAACCAACAGCAACTATAAAACAAAAATGCTGAGAGACGATTTAATAGCTATAGTGTTCGTTATAATTTTTATTCTGTTTGCTCTCGTGCATATCCTAATCACTTTAGATGTTAGATATGAAAACACAGAAAGAATCAATTAAACTCTCCGAAAATAATTTTTTTTGTTCTCTGGTGACCATTAAAATCAGAATTTTGATAATTCCCCATTCTATTTTTGGTATCATTTCTTAATAATGGAATATTTAGGTATATCTTTTGCCCTTCACCAATTTGCTTTGTTTGAGCTTAATTTCTTTTCAGTTAACTACAAAACGCTAAAAAATGACAGTTGAATAATAAACGGGTACACTTGATGTTTTAAACTTCGAATCGACAAGATTCGAAGAATATAGTAGCCTCAGATACACTTTAGTTTTCTGCTCCAAATCTGAACCTTTGATTTATTTTCAATGCTTAAAATGGAAAAAAAACTTCGTTAACTAGACGGGTAAATATTGAAATTTAAAACCACCATTATACAGAGAGGCGAAGCTGCGTTTCGCAAACACTTGCGAGAACGCGACCAAAAAGCAGCTCTATCAAGTTAAATTAAAAAAAAGTAGAAATAAGCCTCGATTATGCTACATAAGCTACATATGCTAACAAATTGCCAATGCGATTCCGTACCAAATACAGATAGACTCAATTTTGCAATTAAAAATTTGGAATACAACAAACTGAAGGCATCCACACTAACCGAGTTTTTATTATTGTTGTTTGAAACAAGTAGCTTTTTTCGATTCATTTGAAATGTATCAACTGTGTTAATTTATTACTATTCGAATGTCAAAGCACATGCTATCAAAAAGCTACCCCACCATTATTGGGGTGCCGCTACCCCACCATTATTGGGGCGACTTATGTTGAAAAAAATGAAGGTTCGTACTAATACACTAGCTTTGCAAGTGTAACATGACAAATTTCATTCAACGGTTTTACGTTCGGTCTCAGATAAAAAAATGAGCAAATTTATGTCAATGAACTAGACACCCAGCTAAAGCTGGATTTACCTGCTGATAATTTCTAATTTTGTTGTCCTGATGCGGGATAAAATAGCTAATTTCATGAATTTAACAATTGGTCTTCACCCAAAACCTGAGTTAAAATTTTTGTGATTTTGGAATTTTCCAGGTGACACAATTTTTTGTACAAACTTTAAGGCGTAGCACTTAAACACGGAGGCTTCCCACAACCTGTTGCCTCGGTATAACCCTTGATATCAGGTTGAGTTCTCTGATACTTTCTGAATTATACCCGATTAAAACAATGATACCCGATTTGGCGAGATAGTTATCGAGAAAATTCAAGAGTACAAACAATTGAACATGAGCGCTTACAGAGGGGATCTTCAGATGGAACCAAAATCTCAGATTAGAGAAAGTAGTTTTCCAGAAAATGTAAAAAAAATCAAAAATATGGGTCAAACATTCCACCAAGACAATTTTTCGAGGGCAGTAGAAAGTGGGGTAAGGTAAAAAGAGACCAGATAATTATGCAGACACACAGGTTGATGGGCGAACTTCCCATTGGTACCTCTTTTTTTGAAAGTCGGTAGAGAAATTTTTGAGAAATTTTTCTTTTTAAAGTTGAAAAAGTTTCCATAGGTTCTCAAAAAAAAATTTAAAAAAAACTCAATCCATACATTTTCATAATACCTGTTTTTATCAAACAGGAATTTCTTTCGATTAATCGACTGCAAACCAAATTTTCAAAAACTATATAAACAATAGCTGAAGTCGTCGATAGTTAAAAAACACCAATTAACCAAAAATTCGGAAAAAAAATTTATTAAAAAAAATGATCATTATTGATTTAATTTTGAATTATTGATTTGATAGATTTTATTTTTTTTTTCAAAAAATGAGCCCAATTTAATGAAACTGGATCAATGGGTAAATTGTGTCAATAACTACAGGAAAAATTCGTAAACACAGAGGCGAAGCGGAGCAATGAATGAATACAATACAATGAAAGGGTAGCATTGCAAGCTACCAAATAGACAGTGCGATAGAAATATCTAAGTTAAAAAACTTAAAAAAATCATTTTTTTACGGAAATACAAAAAATCAATCTCAGAAAAACAGACGAAAAAGACATCCCCTAGCATTAAACAAGCTTTTAATATTTTTGGAGAGTTCAAGAAGCCGAAAAGTGGCTTAGACGCCAATTGATCCGAAAACAAAAAAAGCCAGAGAAAAGTGTTGTCATCACAAAAATTTGAACTTTTACCTTATCAACCGACCTGATTTAATCAAAGCAAGAAAAATCATTTTGTGGTCCTTAAACCGATGCAAAATAAGTTCACTAAACCGGCAAAACATGAGCCAAAATCATTTAGCCCGAATAAAAATTCTAAGCAAAAAAAAAAACGAAAAAAAGGAAAGAATACCAGCCAGGAACATTAAATTCAAAAAAACTACAGGAGTTAATCAACGAAACCAGAGACTACAATGAAAAATGTAAAAAGCGCAAAAAAATCTAAGCCGACAAACAATTGTACGACTAATCAATTTTTCCCAGAAATTCAAATCCAGATACTGAGAATAAAACATGGTCCGTCGGGACTCAAAAACTAGACTATAGGGTGCAAAGGCAACCGCATTACCTCTAAGCCAAAAACGAAAGGACCTTGAAGTTGTTAAGAATCGACACAGAGGCGAAGTTGCACTTCGAATACACAAGCAAAAATATGACCGATAACGCTACTGGGAAAAACTGAATGAGTAAAACTTTTAGTCTACAAAATTTCTGAAGTGACGCACGCCAATTATGACGCCTTAGCAGTACCAGTCAATTTGAAAAAAAAAGAAATTAACCAACAAATATGCCTCAATTTATAGAGCGGTCTAAGGAGCAGTAATAATATGAAAAAACTAAAATTAACAAAAATAATATGAATTTTCCCCCCAAACGCCATATTAAGTACAAAGTGATAAATTTCGCTCCTAGTAACAAATCAATTATGGCAATTAAGTTTCCTTCAACCAACTTGGAACGATTTCTATGACGGATTAAATCTCCGCTTACGCGTTATTAGCGCGAAATATATCGAGCGTTAATTGTCCCAAATCGGTCAAAATGGCACTTTTTAAACCCCCATAACTTTACAAAAAATGATCATAGGTGAAATTTCTTTCCAAATTTTAGCTCAGGGCAAAATATACTTTTTGAATGATATAATACAATTTGTCTGAAGAAAAACCACCCCGAGCACAAATATTCCGTTACTTTCGCTACGAAATCGGAACAATAATAGTCTGTGTTAAAATCCTTAGCATTGGCTGTATTTAATAGCTGGTTATTGATCAAAATGAACACATTCAAAATGAACACATTTTATCGCAACAATATTTGCGTCCCAACAATATTTGCGACTTAGGTTGGAAAAAATATATAGTTCATACTATAACACAAGCATTGCTTGTGTAATAATAAAGCAACATCAATTTCAATTACAAAAATTGCTTACGGGAAAAGTCTTCTTCCCGATTACAAGACACGTGCTCTCGCAAGTGTATAGAAATTTTTAAAAACTAACTTCGGTCAATTTGAAATTGACAGCGGTAGTGAAATGATCTTTGAGCACTTTGTTGTTCAAAAAGAGACTGCCCGAATCCTGTATGTTCTGCGAGATGCAGTTCTGCAGGATCATCTGGTCGAATATCTCTGCCTCGAACTCGACAATCCATTTGTCCAGAGGAAGCACTGCGTCCGGAGTGGTGTCAAACATGGCTGGACTCTGGGTAATGGACTTGATCATGCGCTTGTACATGTCCCAATGGTCTCGCAGGGTCTAAACGTGACAGCAATTCAAGTGAGAGCAAAATAGTTCCTTCTTTCCAATTCCAGAAACGACGCGCAGCTCCGCGCCACTTGTGATTAACCATTGCATAGCAATGTTTTAACTAAAATGAGATTTCAACGTAAGTATAAAAAACTCGAAAATTATGAAGATGTTATAACTACATTGGATAATTTGATCCAATAAAACATTAGCCAAAAGATTTTAATCGAAAAATAGAAAAGTCAAAATCCGATATTGTAAAGTAGCAAAAAACAGGACGACTGTCAATTCCATGTTAGGTTTTCCAGGACAACAAAAGCAGACCAAGGAAAATCCGACAAAACATTTTCTCCGCTTTCACCTTCAACTTCATGCGTAGTATGAATCCTCGATCCTACAAATTCAGAACAAATTTGCGAGAAAATTGTTTACGGAAAAATGCTAGTTCCCGATTACAAGACACTTGCTCTCGCATTTGCAAAAATTTCTCTGAATTCTGGTATGATTGAATTTTCGAGATAAACTAATTTAAAAAAAAACAGCGTTAATTAAACGCCAAGGCGAATTTGAGCGTTGCAAATACAAGCAAATACTTCAAACTTGAATTGTGAAAAGAAAGAAAAAACCTAAGCCCAGAAAAAACGGCTTTGAAAAAAAAACGGGCCAAACTGTGATAAATTATGTTTTGAATGTAATAAAAAAACGCCAAATTGCGATAAATTATGTTTTAAATGTAATAAAAAACTCAGGTGACTTCAGTCTCAGGATTGAAAACGCTGGCGGGAGTGGACACAGTTTCTTACAGCAAAATCTAAAAACCGGATGCACTGGCTTGCACTCATATTTGCTACAAGTTACAGAGAGCATCTTACTTGTTTTGAAAAGAGACATGAAAATATACTAGGAAAATTTCTCTTACTAGATGAATAAATTCGCTCTCTTACCAGTTCAAATATTAATAAAACCAATGTAGAAGCGCAATAAAATTGGAGTACCACAATTTCAGGGAAAAATTTGTGATTAATCCGCAATTAAAGAATTACATTCTGTTCAATTTTGGTTGTTAATTTCTAAAGGTTTACAATATCGGTGTTCTTGAGATCTGTCAGAAACGGTGCTTTTTGACACAGTTTTTATGCGCTTAAGAAGTGAGAATGGATTTCTGAGGTGAAATTAGCAGTTTTAATTTAAATACAAAGGCAAAGCGGAGCAACGCAAGCACATCATTGCAAGTTGGCGAATAGCAAAAAAACTGAAATAAACAATCGAAAAAAATATATATTGGGAAAAAAATCCAAAAAAACCGGCAAAAAAACAAAACAAACAGCATGCAAATTTTTAATTTTTTAACGATCGTCCAATAAGCCGACAATGCAATCATTGAGCTGAAAACAGCCGCTTTACGCCATGAATTTAGCCGAAAATAAAAAAATGCCATAAGGAAATGTGGACAAACAATTTTCGAGCAATTCAATTTAAGAACTTCGAACTTTTACAAAACAATCTACTTGATTTTTTAATCAATCTTTTTTTCCTTTGAAGCGACACAAATCAAAGTATCTAAGCCAATAAATTATAAGCTGAAATCATTCAGGACGAATGAAGCTTTTAAACAAAACAAAGAAAGAAGAAAATATAAAGTCAGGGATATTAATTTTATAAAATACAATACTACATCAAAAACACTTACATCTACGACAAAAATTACTGACCGCAAAAAAATTCTACAATAAGCAGATAGACAAAAGCCTAACCATTCAATTTTTTCCCATTTTTTTAAAATAATTTTATTCATGCTGAAAAAAACTAAGTCCAGTCGGGACTCGAACCCCAGACTTTAGATTCCAGAGACAACAGCGTAACCTCTAGGCCCAGTGGGGGGCAGTCTCGAAGTTGTTAAGGTTCACTAATGAAGTAACTTCACTTTCAACTTCAGATGTACGAAAAATGTTTACGGGAAAAAGGCTTTTTTTCCTTTCCCCCACCTGCAAATTTTAACATTTTGATTTTTTTGTTGGCATTATCCGATTGTTATGAAAATTGACATGCAGACTAATTAGGCCATGACAATCATATTTGGTCTTCATATTTAACCATTTAAAACAACTCGTTACATCATAAAATCGATAATCATGCGAGGTGAAGGGGAGGAAATAGAGCAGAAAAAACCTATGCAAACAGATGCAAAAACATGAAACAGTCAAAAAATTCAAAAGATAAAATTACCTAATTCAGAATACATCAAATATACTGCTAGCAAAAGCAAATTATTCACACTAGTCACATGGTTACCTAAACACTTAAAACTCAATTTTGCATAATATTTTTGGTCAAAGGCATATTGCTTTTTAATTGCGTCTATTCCATCTTTGCTTCTTATTATATTCACCGACCTGATTGAATACGATGATCTCGTCCAGTCTGAGCAAAATACCCAGCAAAACTGCCACGTGGTCCATCAAACAAGTCACACTGACAGTGACGATGAAGTGGTTCTGCTTCCTGTTGTAGACTGCCGCCAATTGACACAGAATGTTCCTGTACACCTGTTGGCACCTCTTAATGAAGTGAGACACTTCTATGATCTGAGGCACAAACTCAGTGATCTTCTCATGACTCGCAGCATCATTGTCATCTGCTTTGAAATCAACCAAGTCTTCCCCGTAGAACAACAGCATTGGGAAGTACTTTTTAGTTGCAACTTTCTTCAGATACTTTATTTCACTGCACAAAGTCGCAAACACCAACAACATCTTGTTCAACTCTTTGTCCCCAGAAGCGTTTTTCAACATTTGATCCACTGTTGTGTTTTCTTCTCGTTCGAAATCAGTTGAAACGATGGAGCCGTTATTGTACAAAACAGGAGTCCAATGGTTCTCAAATGACGTTACTGAAAGATCCAAGGACGCAGCAAACTTGTTCAACTGCCTTGAGTAATCATTGACACATTTTTGCAAAGCTTCTTTTTGCATTTTTCGGACGTCACCCATGACTCCGTCGTTGAATGCATCGAAGAGCCAGTTTTCCTCTTCTAAAGGGATTTCTTTTCCGGCAGAGCCGGCTGATTCGATTGAAACGTCTAAGCCACTCATGGCATCTAAAATGGCTTATTTTAACTATTTTTTCCGAATATTTTCCGATCTTTCGGCGTTTTGATTTAATTTTAGGATGACCGATGGACGTAACTTGCATTAATTTTTTCTATTTTTCGACGTTTTGCAGGAAGTTTTGGATGGAATGACGAAGCGCATCTTCGCCCTACTTGCGAAATAGCAATTAATAACAATGATACCGAGCAATTGAATCGAAACATCAAAAAAAAAACGACCAAAAATTGTTTTTTTTGTCAAAAAAATTCCAAAATAAAACATTGAGTTCACCATTAAAAATTTTGCAAATACAACTAAAATGAACTAACTGCACCATTTAAAATTTTGTAAAGAGCATTCGAAAAATTGAAAGTCAGTTCTGAGGAAACTAAGCCGACAAAATTAACCAGACAGACGACAGTCTCAAATAGCCGAAAACATTGTTTACAAAAACAAACTTATCCTTACTTTAATCAAACTCCAGGCCTTTCTCGTCTCAAGCAATGTTGTTACGTTACCACAGTTCTTATGAGAGTCAAAATTTAAACTTATAACTATCGTTCCACACGAAATAGGCTAGAAAGCAATAAACCAAAAAAGGTGATTTTTTTCGATCAATTTTTCCAAATTGCTCGGGTAACTCAGCAACTCAATTTCATGCACCTATACAGGGGCTGATTTAGGAGGGGGCGGGGGGGGGGGGGCGGACGCCCCCCCCCTCAGGGATTCGACCCCCTGCCGACCCAAAGGGTCCCCCCTTTGATACTTTTTAAGAAATCCATTTTTGGCCGACCGACCCTAAAAATTTTCTAAAGGCGCCTTCGGCGCCAATATATACTAATTTTGAGGGGGGAGCGCGCGCCGAAATAACGCAATTTTTCGGTCAAAATTTTCCAAAAAGTGCCTAAAAACGCCTTTTTTGACCTGTTTTTTCAAAATTTTGCCTGCGGCGCAAAAAATTTGGCCAAAATAGGGACAAAATCGTGCTTTGGGAGAGCTCGAAAAATCAATTTGGTCGACCTAAAAAAAAAAAAGGTCGTCAAAATTTTCGACAATTTTTTGAAAATCCGCCCCCCCCCCCCCTCGAGAAAATCCTAGATCCGCCCCTGCACCTATACCATACGATAAAAATCATTTCGCTCACGAAGTAGCACAGAGGAATTCGAACGCTGATACAATTGAAGAACGAACTAGAACAACGAAAAATACAAATAAAACAAGGATAGCCGGTTACTCTGCAAGTAGCACAGAATGTTCCGACCATAGTCTTTAGAAAACTAGGGTTTAGAAAGTTTTTCCAAATTAGTGTAGTTTCTTCTGCTTGGTGTAATAAAAAAATCTGACGTACAAATAAAATTTAGGCATATTAGACAGTCATAATAATGTAGAAAAAAAATTGCAAGTAAGACTGCTCGCTTGCTTTAATTGCTCGAATTAAGACGAAAAATCAAATTTTGGAGCTTTTTTATGTGGTTAGAATCACGACTAAAGGGCTTTAACACGATACATCACTCAACCCAGTCCAATGATTATTTGTGTTACCTGATTTTGCTTGCAGAACAAAAAGAAAAAAACCAAAAAACTTCCGAATACAAAGTTCCTCTCCATTTTCAATGGTCGGAACAAAAGATGTTTTTCCATGATTAAATGTTATTTGAGATACAAATTTTATATGAGGGACAAAACATAAGGTGCAAAAGCCGACAGAATTAAAGTGCGCATCCAATCAGCTGGAAACAACAGAAAAAATTCAACAAACAAATCATTTCATCTACCGCCCACATAGAATGCACAAGTGCAACGTTATTAGTTCACGCAGTTAACTGTACATACAACGAGATTTATCAAAATCAATGCAGATAGGTTTTTTTAAAATTGCAGCCAAAATAATGCATAAATAGCATCGGAACGAACAAAACGTAATAAGCGGTAACACATTGAAAATACCTGAGCAGAAACCTTTCATGCCGATAAATTTTTTTAAAAAAAAACAATAGTTTTTTTGGTCATCAAGCGACGCAATAAGTGGTCAGTGATTCCATATAAAATAAACAGTTAATGGGAACCTATTCAGCCGAAAAACAAAAAGAAAGAAAAATTATGAAACTTCAACAAACCAAATTGTTAAAACTACAATATTAAAAACAAATTCAATTCAACAGGATTTTTAAAACGGTAGCATGCTTTGAACATGTCTTTTGAGATAGAAAGTACCAGTAGATGAATACGTTTAGGATCCGGAAGCAAAAAAATGGATTATACAAAACGAAGAACAAAATAAAATGAAAAATTATACAAAACACTAAGCCGACAACCCCTAAGCAAAATTACCAGCGAATTATTCCAATATCTGCATTATCAAGTGTACTACTACGAACAAAAAACAGTGATACAACAGCAATCAGTAATCCAGAAGCTTGAAATGAATTTTCGAGAAACAGAGCAGGTCAGCAAGTTAGTGTAGCGTACGTGTGCTGTCTGTTACCAATGATTGAATGATTTTGGTAAGCAAATGGTTAACCTGACAAAAAATTTAACTCCGATTTCATAACGCTTGCTAATCGGATTTTTGGAAACATGTATAATGCAAAATAACGCTTCTGATGAACTGTAAAATGAAGGAAATTATAAAACACTGTTTTATGGTAATTCTGTAGGACTGCGCTATGCGGCACTTTAAATTTGATCTCCGCAAAGCTATTGGTACTACACAAAGGTAAGAGCTTCGCAAAATTTTCTATACATAAAAAAATTTTGAAAAACTGAGACATTATTTTTTTCAAATGAAAACTTTGCTGCAATTTCTGCTGTTTTGCACAGTGAATATTGTTTTCATAGTTTTCGAAATGCATACACACTACACTTTTAACCAAACTGAAATTCTCAAAGCAAATAACACAAGGGCTACCAGCTGAAAAAACTGAAATAAAATTCAAAAGACTGCGGAAAAGCTAAAGGAGAAGAACCAAAAATTGCATTTTTCAAAACTTTGAAAAATATATGCCACATATGTAATGTATACATGATAGTACACGCAATTCAAAAACTAAAACAACAGAATTTAAGTCGACAACTATAAAGCCGAAAAATCATCAAAAAAAGACAGTATCAAAAATACAAAACGAGTGGAGTCCAGATATGGCTTTTACCAGTATTTACTAGTATCAGTAGCAAAAGAGTTAAATTGTAATTTTCCAGAGATTGAGCATAAATGATTCAGGTGATTTTGTTCAAAAAGTTGTTTATAGACCGATCAGATAACGCTTGCTAATTGTAACAAAGCTATTAGCTTTGAACTCTTTCTGTTCAGAGCTCCATTTCACAAGTTGCATTCATTATGCAGTCAGCTTTCAACTGGTGTAGAGGGCTGCTCACAAATGTAGTGATCTTTACTAGAGTATACAATTATCAACTAGATTATAAGATTTGAAATCATGGCTGGACAGATCATTGTTCAGCAATGGAATGTCACTATTCCGTACTTTTTGTTTCTTTTCCTCTCGTTGGAAACTAAAACGCACTGCAATTGAAATTCTGCCAAAAATTATATGTGTTTCGTTGCTGCTTTTCACCCAGATCTACCATAGAGCACTGTTTTGATTTTTTCCTTCTGGATGTTAGCCGCAGATGTCTACGCCATCAGTCCGGTTTTCGCCGCCAATTTGTTCTAGTTTGAACTAGATTTTTGCAATCACCGGTATATCTGAACTGTTTTACTCTTGATGCTTCCGCGTTGCAGGCACGCTAGGTCTGATAAATCTGGCCAAAATTTTTATCAGCGGGAACAGCATTGATTGAATGCCCATCGGCATAACATTCCAAAGCATGCCCTCCAAATAACCCCTCTCACCTCCAGAAGAACCCATTAAGCTCTTCCAACTCCGTTCCGGGTATAGCTGGCTTTTGAACTCTTCGACTTCCCGGCTACACAGTTACCTTTCCCTTGTATGCCAACCTGCTCCCTTGCACCCCACACTTTTTGCCGCCTTTTTAACTGTCCCCAAAACACCTCTCTACTATTGGAAAAGTTGCAATACCCTTGCTCATCGAAAGGGTAAAAAAGAACAGCCCATATCAAAGATTGCAAATCATCAAAGTTGCCTCAGTTAGATCTTATTTCTATCTATCCACAGCGGGTCAAGACCACTGCAGCTGTAGTTGACAATCTCCTATATCTGTTTATCACGTAAAATGAGCAAACTTGGCAAACCGCTACCATATTCACGATTGATGTATTCAATGCCAAACATTTCCATAGACTAGGCGTCGGAACGATGCACTGATACGCGCCCGATCTCGAAATTAACGAATACAAAGCAACTCAAACCAATCTTTTGCACGCACAGTGCAAATACTTGATAGATGCAGTTTCTTGTCTATCTGTTAAAAACTAATTGCTGGCAATTAGAGTCCAATCAATTGCAATTAAAGCAATGGATTGCTAAGAATTCTACATTGCAATTATTCATTGCACATTTCGATTAATTGTAATTACACTGGAAAGAGCTGAAAGGGGCTAAATGATTTGAGTAAAATGATTAAAAACATAGCCAATCAAAGATTGGAAGAGTAATGAACTTTAAACTCCTTGAACTTCTAGAACAATTTATGATTGGCGCTTTTTGATAACATGAACCTAACTTGAAAAAACTGGATCAATAGGTAAAGTTTTTTTTCGCTGGGAAATCTTAAAAATAAATTCCACTTTCGAAATTAGAAATCGTTCACGTTTTTTCGCACCATTTCCTCGTTCGTATTTCGAGAGTGCTATTTACGTCACTTTCAGCAGATGAATTTCAATTGAATTCAAAAAGTCATTATACCCAAGTGCATCAATATTTTCAGACTTTTTCCTGAAAAAATAACAAAAAAAACCAGCAAGACCTATATAAGAGTCTTCACTATGTTCATTATTCTGAAAAAACTGTGTTCTCAATACATGAAGAGTGTAGACCTGTTGAGTCAGTAAAATATTGATACCTATACAGTTTGTGTTTAATAGTTT